GTAGAACAAAACCTCGGGCTCTGGTTATTTCGTATTTCAACGCAAACTGCATTAAGGTTCAAAGGGACGAAATCGCAGAATTCCTTCGCGATTATAATGTAGACATTTTTCTAGTGCAAGAGACCTTCTTAATACCTAGCGTACGCGATCCCAGAATCGCAAACTACAACATAGTCCGCCACAACCGGTTAGCAACCGTCTGGGAGGCACTTTAATTTATTATAAACGGTCCTTGCACTGTAGCCCGCTCGACATTCCAGAGCTCAGCCATATAGAGGCATCCGCGTGTAGGTTTAACGGTGGTAGAGCGACGCAGCAGCCTATTGCACGAATGGGCAGGCTCGTCCGGGTAAGTACTACGACCTCACAGAAGACCGGTGTAAAGTGGAAGTATGACAAATACTTTCACGTTTCATCTGGTGAGTGAGGTCACCGGACCCCAATTTCCAAAAAGGTTGACAACGCATCTGCAAACCCTCGGGTGTAGCAAATGTTCATGGACGGTGGTATTCACTTAACATCAGGTGATCCGTCTGCGCGTTTGTCAACTTTTCACATAGAAAAACCGGTTAGCAAACCGTCCGGGAGGAACTTTAATTTATTATAAACGGTCCTTGCACTGTAGCCCGCTCGACATTCCAGAGCTAAGCCATATGGCAAATGGAATGTCGAGCCATATGGCCTCTATATAGAGGCATCCGCGTGTAGGTTAGTGCTCACCGGCCATAGGCCGCTTGTACTAGTCTCAGCCTACCTCTCGGGGAACAAAACCTTATTACAAAGCGATCTAGAAGCGCTACTCACTTTAGGCCCTTCCGTGATAATTGCAGGCGATCTAAACTGCTTAATCTATGCTGCATTTAATTTTTTTTTTGTTGACGTGGAGGAAATGCCTACGCATACCCGCCCTCGCGGGGGTAGGAGCGGGTTATGTCGGACTTGCACCGACTAAAACCTGCGACTAAAGGCTGCACCGCAATACCGACACTCCTCTCCCCCCGCATCCTCACCACCACTGCTTCAGCGGTGCAGCCCCACCGCGTCGCGAAGGAGTGGGAGCACGGCCAACGCAATATCGACACTCCTCTTCTCCCGCGACTCCTTCTCGATAGCAGAAGACAGGGAGAGTGGCTCCACCTCTACCACCCTTGACCTTTCCCCTGTACCCTCCAGCACGCATCCAGAGTGAGCTCAATGAGCCCACTCGGAGTGGCCCTCTCGGGTCGGCCTTACACCACAGGTCAGCCCAGTGTGGGTTCCTCTTAGTTTCGCCGTGGGGGACCAAACCACGGCTACTAAGCCGCTCAAGGCGGGAACCCGGTCGGAGGGGCGACACAGAGCATCCTAGATATTATATTATTCAAGGAGGTCTCGTTCGACATCGAGTCCATAGAGACTATCCACGAAGTAGATTAAGATCACAGGCCTGTCCTAAGTAGACTGGGCCAGAACGCCAGCGCGGTCCCTCCGACCAAATCCGTAGTGGACTGGCATCGTCTTGAGGTCAAACTCAAGGCCTTAGACCCCTAGGCCTTAGTCGACCTACATGACGAAGAAGACGCCAATCGAGCGATAGCAAGTCTCGAAGAAATTATTACTTCCGCAGTCGCAGATTCGTAACGGACGGTGAAACTGTCGGGCGACCGACAGTTTAACTTTCCGCCCGACCTGCGACTACTACTTAGGCAAAAAATGCAGCCAAACGTGCTTTCGACCGATACCGATCAGAATCGACCCGAACTCTACTTCGACGCCTTCAGCTAGAAGTCAAAGATCGCGTATCGGAACACCGATATACCGCGTGGGACACTCTCCTGAGGACATCGAGCCATTGCACACCGCTTACTGGCGATGGCCCGCAGTCTGAAAGCAGACCGCCGCGAATCTTTACCGTCGTTAGTTATAACTAATAGATGAAAGAAAGAAAGAAAACATTTATTGCTGAAATATAGCGCTTCAATAGCCCTAGATGACTGAGAAAATGCCGAATGCCTTGCGGACAGCCTAGAGCAGCAATGTACGCCATCCCGTGAAAACACCGATACAGCCCACCTAACGGAGGTGGACCGCGTAATCGAGACTAGGGCTGCGCTTCCACCGGAATGCGATCCTTTAAATTCAGTGACCCCCGAAGAGGTCCAAGTCATTATTAAAAATTTAAAACCCAAATCCGCCCCGGGCCCAGATAATCTGAGTAATAAAATTCTTAAAACTCTCCCTGGGCCGCTTATCTGTTTACTGGCGACCATATACAACACATTAATCTCCAGTTGCTCGTTTCCGGACGACTGGAAAGAAGCCACGGTAATCGGTATTCGCAAGCCGAATAAACCCACTAATCAACCCTCAAGCTATCGTCTCATCAGCCTCTTCAGTTGCCTGGGGAAGCTCTACGAGCGGCTATTATTAAACAAGCTCAAAGAGCACGTATTTTCCAACGGCCTTCTGCCGGCGGAACAATTCGGCTTTCGAGCTAGTCATTGCTATCCCGATCAATTATACCGCCTAACGGAATACATCCTGAAAGGCTTAAATCATCCGAAACATATTAGCATGGGTTCTCTTGTCTTCTATGTCGCAAAGGCATTCGACAAGGTCTGGCACAACGGCTTGCTTTACAAGCTGTATACACTCAAAGTGCCACACGCTCAGGCTTGTACACACCATCCGGGCCTTCCTGTCGAACCGATCTTTTCGATATCGAGTTGAGGGCACCCACTCCACAAGCCGCCGTCTCACGGCTGGCGTTTCACAAGGCTCCTGCCTCTCAACCTTACTCTTTACGCTCTACACGAGCGACATACCCAAAGACCCCCACGTAAATCTCGCGCTTTTCGCGGATGACACGTCGCTCTTTTATACAGATAAAAATGTCAATCAACTCACTACTCGTCTCCAAAGCGCCGCCGATCGCCTCGGCGATTGGTTCCTCAAATGGAGAATAGAAGTAAATCCCGAAAAGATTGCGGCGATTCACTTCACGCGAAGTACTTACCCGTCACATCTTTATAAAGGCCCCCACCAATGCAGAAAGTTGGGGCAAATATCTTTTAATGGCCAACCGCTGCCCTGGGAGAAAAAGGTCAAATACTTAGGATTCACTTTCGACTTGCGTATGAAATTTACTACGCACATTAATAACATTCGTAATAAAGCCGCGTTCGTCTCCGGTCGGCTACACAGTTTAACTAACGCAAAAATTAAAATGCCCTTAAGGCACTAATTATTATTATATAAATATATATAAATTCCATATGTCTGAGCTGTCCGAGCAATCTATAACATTGGAGCCAAAATACACTCAGAGATCTTTTTAAAGAGATTAATGTACTCACTGTTGCGTCTCAATATATTTATTGTAATATTTTGTATGTGAAACATAATATTAATAATTATCTAAAGAAAATTGACAGACATAAACTAAATACAAGAAATAAGGACAAACTAACCACACCATTGTTTCGTCTACATAAAGTAAACAGGTCGTTCATGGGGCAAAGTGTGCGCATGTATATTAAAATCCCACAATCGATATTGTGAGTCTGCCACTTGATGAATTTAAACGAAATATTAAAAGTAAACTTATGGCTAAAACATATTATATTATTGCGGAATATCTTGATGACGCTAATGTGTGGAATTAATGCTGTTGATACTCACGTAGGCTAAAACAAGACTATAATACCTGTACCAGTATTTTGTAAACTGACCTTTAAAACAAAAAAAGAGCAACTGTTGAGTTTCTTGTCGGTTTCTTCTCAACAGAAACTGATTTCCGAACCGGTAGTAACTTACGAACTTATTAATTTCTTTGTAAAATTCTAAACTAAATTAATGACGTTTCGTAAGAACGCGCCAGCGTCTATGTGAATGAAGATATTTTATTATTATTAATGACTAGATGTGCCCGCGACGTCGTCCGCGTGGAATTTAAAATAAAAAAAAATCTAAAATAAAAGTAGCCTTATATACTACTTATTACATCAACTATCTGCCATTGAAAGTCCCAAACAAATCGGTCCAGCCGTTTCAGAGTAAGTCGGAACAAACAGACAGATGGACAGACAGACAAAAATTGTAAAAAAAAAAATATTTTGGTATGTGTACCGTGTATACATCCATATGCATTTAGTAAAAAGCGGTTATTTTAATATTACAAACAGACACACCAATTTTATTTATCTGTATAGATTTTTAACACCTCTATACCATGTTGTACCCTAGATAAGGAATTACGGTTAGTATAAAATACGAAGCGAAGGTGAAATTGTAGTATAAAAACCATAATTATAATACCAAATGCAACACTGCATCCGCGACAATACTAGTCATAGACAACAGTTTTTTTCCGTTAATTTTTATCTTTTGGCTTTTTTAATCAGTTTGAATAGAAATATCGTTTTTGATGATATTCAATTTTTTATATCGATATATCGATATTTATACGGCATCCCTATCCCTAGTGGTCATCCGTCATTGGAAATTTGGAATTGGATTTGGATTGGACAGTCTGTGGATTGGAGAGTGAAAAACAAAGAGTACTTTTATATATATGGTGAAAAAAGCGTCGTGTTGTACTGTACTTTTATTGTTCCTTGTCTTTGCTTATTTTATGTAAATGTAAATAAAAATAATTGATATTAAAATTTTAATTACTATAGAATAGGTGTAAGTTCGAAATAATTAACGCTGCAATCTGATTACCGTTGTAAAATAAAAATACTATGTAAATCTACTTACTGATTAATGATACGGTATATGTATAATTCATTTGGGTAGATAAATTATTATCTAAACATTTCAATTAGGTACATGGAAAATCAATTCCCGTACAAAATTGTCTTTTATTGTCAATATTTTTTTAATGTTGATACGTTTTTTTTTTTCAGATAATTGCGCGGGGGTTTTAATTTTGCTTTATTAACCAAGAAATCAATAAAATCATGAATAGAAAAAGGAATGTGAGCTACATTAAACCGGAAGATCCCCATTTTTTAAAGATGCTAAAGAAAGAAGCCGGTTATGATGATACCAATCACAAGTTTGATAAACTTAAAAATAATGATACAGATTTTGTTGATGATGATGAGAATGAAAAGCCCCAAGTAGTTGTTTTGCAAGCTGGTGATTTGACTGCAGAAGAAGTTGAAGTTGAGAATCAAAAATTGGAGAAAGAAAAAAATGAGACTAAAGCAGACCTTAACCAAAGGGTGATTTTTAAAGCAAAATTAAAGCCAACCATGTTACCTGACAGTAAGAGTCAAAAAAGGAAAAATAAAAGCAGACAAAAAAGTGCTAGCCAACTTTTATCATTTGCTAGTGAAGAAAATGCTGGTGAATGACTTTCCAATCTGATTTATGGAACTATAAATATCATTTGGTAATCAGTATTTTAACTATTTGATAGATTAAATTAATGGAATGACATTTGTCATACAATGTGTAATAAAATTTATTATTACTTTGTATTACTGTAAACAAAAAAAAATGGCAATTAAGTTTAGTGTGTATAATTGTAATTATAGCATTGTTGTCTAAATTGTTATAATTTTTTTATCTGCATTAAAATTAGACAATTACGAGAAACTTATTTTAATAAATTCCCTGTGGATTATATAGTTGGTGCCTTTTAGATGTAGCAAATGCATTATAATGTAGGGGGGGATATTCATTTGTTTTCTTGTCTGGTTGGGTTTCTAATTAGAAATAAACACACATATATATATATATATATATTGCATATATAAAATAAATATTATATTAAAATATGTAGAAAAAGTGCGAAAAGATGTGGGAATCGAACACACGTCTTCGGCATTCGCGGCCTGACGCTCTCTTAAGTGCGAAAGACTTTTTCTACATATTTTTAGCACTATAAACAATTTAAATTTCTATAAATATTATAATTAAAAAATTATAATTATTTTTATGGGTCATGATCTTATACAAAATCCATTAATTAATAGTCCCATGTAATACATTTTGTCTCACAAATCACGAAGCTTGTCCACAAGTTCTACTCATTTGAGAAATGGAAAAATGCATGTTTTAAATAAAAAAGATTTGCTTAAAAGAAGGTTTTATTTTTTCATTATATATTACAATTTTTTTGTAAAAAAAGGTCACTCATCACTTGCTTAGCTTAGTTGATACAACATCTGGGGACATTACCTGGAAGTTACAGGTATGTACCGGACTAACCATGGAGTAACGCCCGGTTTCTGAAACACTGATCATTGTAGAAGTCAACTAGTTAGCTGTCAAATGGATCTTAAAAAGTTATTTGATATTTTAACGATCCTTTTGACACTCAAATAACAGGGTGTAAGGGTAATATATTTAAACCCATTTATCTCTGCCTGAATCTTAATTTGTTGAGGGAAACTTAATAAGTAAAAATGTTGAATTGTTTTTTTAACACTATACTTAAGACCGAATATCAGACAAAGGACTGTTTGAAAGAATTTGTTATGCGATAAGATAGTCTTTTAAGTTGTTCTTGGTCACATATGTATGTAAATATTGATTCTGGACTTCGTTAAATTAAGATTTTTATTTGCTTTTTTATGGAAAAAGGAGGCAAACGACCAAGCGGGTAATCAGTTTGCAACATTGGTTGAATCCCAATTGCTAATATCATTATGGGCATAAAATATTGTTAAAACCCATTTAACAGTGTATTTCAGTCACAACTTGTTCAAACCTTAATATAAAGTAATTAATGTTTTGTTATGATTGTGTTATGTTGCTTGACTAAAATATATAACATCATTTATTTCTTACAAATGATACAAACCAATTTCACAATGTCAAGAATTAGAGGACAAATTTTTTCCACTGTCTTCTAAACTCCGTCTTTTCTTAGGTTTGGCTTTGGAACCATTATGGCTAAAGGTTTCATACCTGTAACTTGGCTGTGGTATTTCAGTTTCGTTCTCATACTCTAACAACTTACGCAATAAAAATTTTCGTTCATCTTTAACAATAAATATGTTTTCTTGAATTTTGGCGACTTCATCGCATAAAGCAGCATTTTCCTAGAAATAGAGAAATGATTTATAACTGTTCATCATATGAATTTCAAACATTTACGTATAATGTACACGAAAAACTTACAATTATTAAACTTTTAATTTTCTTTTTCATATACTTATATTTTTTACGATAACGTTTGTTGTGGTTTTCGTTTTGATTACTAGTCATTTTTGAGATACTTGTTATATGAATGTAAGGTACGAAAATATTTTAAAGACCTCTTTTTGTTCTTATCAGAAAGAATTTGAAAAGAAAATTGTTTCCTTTTGCTTTCTTCATTCTTCAATCAAATATTGAATTTTGAACAATTATGACTTGATGAAAGGTATAGGGAAATATATATCGATGACGGAAAAATATAGCGATATTTTTTTTAAATATCGATATTTTTGGCCGATATATTTTGATCCGATATATCGACATAAAAAATTGAATATCGGAATCGTATACGAAATTATATTTTTCTAAAAGCCGAAAAAGATAAAAATTAAAGGAAAATACTTATGTCTATATTGTCGCGGATACAGAGTTGCATTTTGTCCTATAGTTATGGCTTTATACTACAATTTCATGCTTTGTACTTTATACTATCCATATCTAAGGTACAAAATAGTATAGAGGTGTTACAAATCATTAATATGGAAATACATGTTATGCTCATACAATAGTATAGTGCATACAATAGTGAACTCAATAGATAAGTGAAATAATAGTGACAGCAATAAAGTGAACAAAAGTTTAATTATAATTGTTGATTGGTAATCTTAGATTATACATACTCTTTTGATGTCAACTCTGAACTTTTGGATTAATGTATTATGTTTGAATTACTTTAAATTTGGAATGTTAATTTTATTTGTTCAGACTGAATTGTGTCATAATTGATTGATTCCACGTAAAACGATTAAACGTAGTGATTACATTCTCTTTGATTGATTCCATTAAAATCGTTTGGAGAAGTAATATGTCTAGCTATATGACATAACTCTTGTATTTTACATAAATTTTATAATGATTACGTTTCGTCTAAAATAAGTTCAAAATGTTAAAGTTGAAATAAATAGTTTTCTTATCAGTCCTTAAGTGTCTTTTTGGCTTGAGAGTGATCCCATTAGCCACATCTACCGTTCAAGAATAATCATGTTCTCAATAATTAAATGTCACATATAAAATCGTGTTTTCATAAAAACAATATTTGGCATCATAAAAATTATTATTATTTAACCACATAAGTAACTTTTTTAATTGATCGTTCAGCATTTTCATGTCAATCAACAACTTTTACCAAATTCTGTTGTTGCTGAAGACAGGCCTAGGTCTTTTAGGACAAGTCTCTGCGGGTTTCTTTTCGTCCCATTAATAAATTCGTTTTAAACAATTCTATGTGTTTTTTACAAAGTTACATGTTTTTTTATGTTTTTACTAATGGAAATTGCAATACTATCGATACTATCGCATGCATTATTATCGATACTATCGATAGTATTGCTGATAGCACTAGTATTGGCACTTGGAAAGCCATCGATACTAGCACTAGTATCGACAGTATTGACACGTGACAATACTATCGATACTATTGATTTCACCTTAACTATCGATAGATATTCGATTGTCTATCAATAGCAGATGTGTAGCCCACACAGGCACACACGGTCTTTCCAGTCCATAAATTTTTAATATTTGTTTGGAGCTAGCTCATTCCGTTTAGTTCCATCCATCAAAAAAGGATGGCATTGTTTTAAATGCAAAACCATTTTAACTATGGTACCAATAAATTGAAAACAAAATTTTATTATAAGTTAAAATAAAATATGTACGGTTCTTATTTTGGAGAAAATTGTATTTTTTTAAACAAAAATTATTAATTTGCAAGAAAACAACTAAGCAAAATGCTGGAAGTAATATTAAACAGTGTAACGGAACGTTACCGACGTAACTGCGGCCGGATAGTACTCATTTATTTTATTCGTTTATCTTTCATAATTTTAATTTGTTATACGTAACGGCAAAACATTAATATTGTACTTCCAGGTAAAGATTACAAATCAAGTTTGCATTCTTTTCCTCGCCTGAAAATGATAGTGACAGACTTACAACATGGATTCAATCGATTGGAGGAAATTTACTGATTTTGGATAGCCAAAAATAAATCATTCATAACAAAGATTATAAAAAAAAATAGGGAGTGATTATATTAAAAAAAGAAATAAAGTTCGCAAACATACTCATGTATTTTATTTACTTTATCCAAAAATAAAATATAGCAAGCTTGTATCCAATTACAGTTTTCGGACGACTTCCTTCGCGTAACGAAGTACTTGCGCGAGAATAAGATAGGTTTTCACATCTACTCGTTGTCCGAAGAACGCAAACTTCGGGTAGTTATCAAGGGCGTCCCCAAAGAGTCGGATGCCGACAAGGCTAAGGTCGACATCCGCACTCAGGGATACCCCGTAAATGTAGTGCGACGACTCAGGCACCCTTGAACACGTGTCCCTATGGACATGGTCATGGTTGAACTTGACCCTCCATCTTTAACCTGTGAAGAGGGTCTGTGGGCTCAGTGACTTATTCATCGAGCCCCCGCGCAAATCAGGCGTTGTGGCACAGTACTACAATTGCCAGCACTAGGGCCTGAAATCAACATTGCCCAAGCCCGCGCCCGTGAAATACATTCCCGCGCCCGTACCAGTCGTAAACGCCTGGGCGAAACCCCACGTGGTCACGCAGCTAGTCGCGCGCCCCGGTCGCCTCTCGACTAATGCTAGCCCAATCGCAGCCCGCCATTCAACAGGCGTCGAGGCCACAGGTGCAGTCTACACCACCGGTAATCACCGTTCGCAGACGTTCGCCCAAATAGCGAACGTCTGCGGTTTATTGCACCGCATAAACAGACAAGAGCTCGCCGTATTGTCCGCAAATTATTGGCCGCCACATCTAGCCCCGAGCGCCTCAACGCCATTAGAGAACATAAAACGCTTGTAGACGCCCTAATGGGTGTTTATAAGCCAACCATAAACGCTATAGTGACTACTAGTGAGTATTATTGAGCGGATAATAGTATAGTACGCTCAATAAAACCGCGCTCCGCCGCGTCGTTAGTTAGAAATCATAAAAAACTTTTATTTAAAGTTTAAACGCAGGTAGAAGAACACCTCGGCATCTGGTTGTTTCGTATTTCAACGCAAACGGCATTAAGGGACGAAATGCAGAATTCCTTCGCGATTATGTAGATATTTTTCTAGCGCAAGAGACCTTCCTAGGTTTTACCTAGCGTACGCGATCCCAGAATCGCAAACTATAACATAGTCCGCCACGACCGGTTAGCAAACCGTCTGGGAGGAACTTTAATTTATTATAAACGGTCCTTGCACTGTAGCCCGCTCGACATTCCAGAGCTAAGCCATATAGAGGCATCCGCGTGTAGGTTAGCGCACATCGGCTATAGGCCGCTTGTACTAGTCTCAGCCTACCTCTCGGGGAACAAAACCTTATTACAAAGCGATCTAGATATGCTACTTAACTTAGGCCCTTCCTTGATAATTGCAGGCGATCTAAACTGCAGACACGTCTCATTGGACACCCATAGCATCCCAAATAA